GAAGAGAAGAGAAGAGAAGAGAAGAGAAGAGAAGAGAAGAGAAGAGAGAAGAGAGAAGAAGAAACCAAAGAGACAAATGATGAATACAGACACTAAAACCTGACCCAGAGCTATCCAACAAGGCCTGAAGGTCACTGCTGTCTGTTCTCCTTTGATGGCAAATGTGTTTATATGAGATGTGTTTATATGCTATACTGGGCCCAGGGACAAACACCACAGAAACTTCTGGAGCATTCTATTTCCCTCTAAGATTCTAGCTCTTTATTCTCATGAATCATATTGAGGAACAGACTGCCACTTATCATCCTAAACCCCAAGTCATTTAAAGACACACAGATGACCACGAGGCCCCAGAATGGAAGGATGCTTCATCCTTCATGAGAAGTTGAGTAGAGATAAATGTTGGTCAGGTTTTTTTAGAGGATGAGCATTCAGATCATAAGCCAAATCCCAAACTTTTTTTCCTAGTAAGATAAAAATAAATGAGTGTCATAGTGATGCAGGTGACACTTTTCAAGCACACCTGTATGAGGAGGGCTATTCCTGGGGGCATCAGATGGGCTACTGTGAAGGTAGTGTTTCCAAGAGATAGAGTTGGAACAAGAAGGAGGTGGGTGTCTTGGGCTAGTGTGTGGAAGGTTTACACAGACAGGCACAGCCTGCCATTCTGAAGCATGCATCTGTATTTTGACAAACAATGTAGGGGAATCCAGTTGGCAAGAGATAACTCTGATTCCATGCCACCACCCTAAAACAGAATTGCTTCAGAATATTCTGAGAGTTGAAAGGAATGGAGGCTGCAGAGGAAGCTCAAGCACAGTGTTACAACATCTTAAAAAGCGGTTCATCTAAGCCATGCGACCACTTGGTGTGCAGCTGAAAGGAAAAGAGCGGAAACCAAGAGGAGTTTTAAAAGTGCACAATCAGGTCTGGGAGCTGGTAGGGGGTGTCTTGAGGTAGGAATTTCCCCAGTGTTGGTCATTTATTTTGAACCATTTTCCCAGAGTAGAGCCAGTGGCTAGGCCAGCTAGAGGTGATCTGAATCACTAATGAAAACCAATCCTAAGAAGCAGAATTGGCTAATTCATGGCTCCCTCTGTCCCTCAGAAGCCAGAGGCTCTCATTTTCTGGGTGCTGGATTCAGCTTCCGGATCTGAATCATGCCACACTATTAAAGTTCTATTGGTTATAAAACACACCAGATTTTAGCATGTGTCCAGGTCAGGGTTAGGTAGACTGCTGGGAGGCGGGGACACTGGGTTAGCAGATTCTGCACTTTTAAAGCTTGAAATAAAACAGTTGGAAAATAATCATCTCACTTCTACGTCCACATGTATTTAAACAAAAATAGAGAAACAGCATATATATATATATATATATAATATATGTAGATATTATATATATGTAAATTTTAAATGTTAATCAGTTAATTTGTGATAAATAACAAAAGGAGATAAATAAGCATGCTTGTTAGTTCTACCTCTAAGCCTCATTAAAGGACATTCTTGGTAACTACAGTGGGAAATTCAGACTTCTTACACTTATTTTACAAACATTTGTTTTTCCTGAAAACTACCTGTTTTTCTCAAGACATTTAAAACTGGAAACTAGTTTTATGTATTTCTTTTGGGTCAAAGGTACAAGTTTTTCATTTTGTGAGAACTGTCATGTTCTTGTCCATTGATAATTTTTCTACTGACAGCCAAAACCCTGCTCTAGCCACATAGTGTCTAGAACCCACTGAACCCTCTCTTTGGCTCTACTGTCTTCCTATCACCCCAAATATTGCCATGTGAAGTCAAAGGGCTCCTTTACCTGTGGGCCTCACACTCTAATGGTCTGGGAAGGCATCCCACACTGCTTTTCTGGGCTGTTTGGAGGAGCTACCACTGAAACTAATTCCTCGATCAAGAACTACTCGGCAAAGAGATTACACTGACCACCAGCTGGAGGCACAACTTGGTCAAGCAGCTTCATGCTTGTCTTCTTCCAGATCTTCTTTATCACAGCTCGGAGTTCTTCATTAGCTTGCTCCAGGTTCCCTGAAACCAAAAGGCAAAAGGACGGGTTTGTGGACACTGAATAGACAAGCCTTGTGTCTGTGGCCCAGAGCTCTCTCCTGCCCCTTACTATGTTGCTGGGTCCTTGTATTGCTTCCTCCTTGGGCCCTTCACAGTGAGTGCCAAATACCCTTCCTATATTCAGAAGCATTTACCAAGCCACACAGTTGGAGACCCACCATTGGGGAACAATCATTTCCAACCTGGGAACTCAAGAACTACCCATGCTGCTACAGCAACCTACCCCAGATAGAACCTAAGCTCCTACCTCAGCTTCCAGACCAGAAGGCAATCGCTGCTGCCTCTGCCTCTTCCTCCCCCTCTTCTATCTCCTCCTTCACGTCTTCCCTTCTTCCTCCCCCTCTTCTCTCCATCTCCTTTCTCTTCTTTCTCTTGTTCTCCTTTTCCCCTCCTCCTTCACTATACTCCAATACTGCCTTGGTTCCATCAGGATAAACTTCACCAAAATAAGACTCATTTCAGGCCCCACTTTAGGTACTCATCCTCACCCCATAACCTGGACTTCTTCCTATACGGTGGTTGTCTTTTCTACCAATACACTGACATGTAGGGCCATCCTTCCTTCTGGAACTCTCAGTGATGTTCATTTGTGGCATAAAAAGCACGTTAGGCTGGAAGACACTATCTTTGCTGGGTAGAGCGCCAGCGTTGTAAAGAATGCCTGTCTTCTGACTACGCGCTTGTCTTTGCTGTCCTCTCTCAACTCCCTCTTGCCTCTGCTTCTGCACCTCAGGCTCGCTCCTTAAGCCCGGGCCGTCCTCTGCTCCCCATGCCACCAATAGTGCAGCCTCTGAGACAATCCCCAAGGCTCGTCCCACTGCTTAGCCAGGTTTGAGTAGGGCTGAGTGTGGCATGATAAAGGGGGCAGCTGAGATATGGACCTGCTATCACACTCCACATGCTAACCACGGTGTGTGTGTGTGTGTGTGTGTGTGTGTGTGTGTGTGTGTGTGTACGCACACGCAGTGGGCTCTGCGCCTTCCACCCAGCCTGCTTAGACTATTCCCTGGCATCTTCATGTGTGGTTCCTTTTTATGGACAGAGAAGTTACTGCCTGAAAAAGGGAGTTGCCTCGCTGATAGTGTTGGCGAAGAAGAGCTAGAATGACTCATTTGCAGCTTCTGCCTATGTCCCAAAGCCTCGCCTATTTCTCCTGTGGTATAGAAAGTAGTGTGACGAGTCAACTCCACACGCTATGGGACAGAACAAGCAGAACAAACAGAAGGGAAGGGGCGGTCGGCTGGCCAGACAGAGATATTCTCCTTGTATTCACTACACTTTCCCAGGACACCCCACTAATTAAGAGAAAGCCCAGGAGGGAGAACCAAAAGTGTGCAGTGGGGGGAGGTGACCCCTCCCTCTCCTGCTGCCTGTCCTGCTTCCTGCCGCCAGGGAGTGCTCACCTTCAGTCTTGATCTTGAGTGCCGTCCGGACCAAAGCAAACAGCGTTGCATTGAACATGACGGTCCCATCGCTGTTGAGAGGCATGTTCATGGCAACTAACCTCTGTAAATGAAAAGGAGCTCCTCAGGAGAACGCAAACATTCTGTGGCAGCATGGCGCCTTTTCATGTTCATTCTTTGTGTATCCCTTATTCATGCTCCAGGAAACCCTCACTTCAAGTCAACAGCCATTTGGGAGTGTTTCTACTAGAGTTAATTATAGGTATCAACATAATTAGTTTATGGGCTGTCCAGATACTGGGTTCAGTGTCATTTCTTGGTAGGCCTGTGAGGGTGTTCTGGGAGAGATTAGCGTTTGAATTGACAGGCTAAGTACAGCAGAAGCCTACAAAAGTGGGCAGTCATCATTCAACCACGGCCCACAAAAAAAGTGGAGACTGGGTTTCCTCTTTCCCTGCCTGCTTGAAGTGGTACATCAGTCTACTTCTGGCTGAGATGTATCTCATTGGTCCCCCTGGTTTTCGGGCCTCAGTCCTCAGACTGAACTGAGATGTCCCGAGTCTCTCACTAGAAGGTGACAGACCGTGGAACTTCAAAATCACATGGGCTCTATCACATAATAAACCATTTCTTGTGTATGCATATATGTCTGCACATCTATGCATGGTCACACATACATACATATACATATACTATACATATATGTCCACAGTGACCCCATCAGTTCTGTTTCTCTGGAGAACACTGAGCAATACAACCTAACATCTGTGAGGAACCTGGGATAATATGAAATATAAACGCTGACCATTGGATGTGATTTAATGTTAACACTTAATAAGTAAATTAGCAAAGAAATAAAATTAATTAAGTGAATTGTTAACTAAATACGTTACATTAATTAAATTAATAATTAAATTTCATTGTCCATGTATTCCTCTTGTCTCATTAGTTAGCTCTCTGTGTCTTGGGGCCAGGTCTGCCTTCCAGGTAAATCTTTAAGGATTTTATGATAACTAAATTATACAGCAGGTACATGGCCCAACCACAGGGCCATTCCAATAGAGCTCACTACTGACCACAATCCAGAGAGAGCTCTTTTAATAAGTTTCTAGAAACAGAACACCATGTGCTATTCCTGGTAGGTCTCCATGGCTTCTCCGAAGGCTTGGTGTTTCAGAATAGATCAGTATTTCCCACTTCTCACCTCTCTCCAGGTACCCCTCACACCAGTGTCAAGGAAGGTTGCGGGAGAACCTGGGGTTAGGGACACCCTCTCTGGGCAACAGTCACCTCATTGTAAATGCAGACAGCATGCCAGGCTGATGGGCCTTGCAAGGAGATCACAGACACAGAGGTTTTATGGCTAGCACATGGTAAGGATTAACTAAATGTTAATATCTTAAAGTTCTAGCTGGGCATGGTGGTAAACACCTTTAGTCCTATCGGCAGGCTGATCTCTGATTTGGAGACCAGCCTGGTCTAGATAACTTCCAGGTTAGCCAGTGCTACACAGTATGACCCTATCTCAAAAACAAAACAAAACAAAACCCAAAATAAAATAACATAATTTTAAAAATTTTTGGCTAGAAGTTTATTACAAAAGGAAGGCTTGGATGTTTTTCCCACCCTACTGAAGGACTAGAATGCAGCTGACTGTGCAACCTCCCTAAATTTCAACTCCTACTTCAAGCTTTCCTGTCTCCAGAATCAGTGCGGCCAGGGTGACTGGGACATTCATTCACTTTTCCTGACAAATGCCTATGCTAGCAAAATGGATGACTTTGTGCATTATGGATACGTGGGTCCTTTAAGCAGAGGAACCAGGAATGCAGACAAAGGTGAACTCTGTCAGCTTGGCTCTGTGCCACTCTTTGGAGAAGTTCAACCTTGCATCTCTGTTGCTACTGTATCATTGAGACAGTTTCTGTGGGCTCTGTGGGAGAAAGACCAATGTGAGCTGAGGCTCCATACGACCAGTGTGGGGATGACAGAGACAGGTAGGAGGCTTGAGCTTGTCACAGAGACACCTCAGCTTCATGCCCCAGGGAAGGGCTCTATAGAATTCTACAGCAGGAAAGCCACAAGCAACATGCTGCCACTTCTACAACTGGGGGGCTAGGGCCCAGTGTCTACCAATGCCAAGCTAGAGTCTAATGTCTACCACAGCCAAGCCAAGAGCTGAGGTATTTAGTTATTTTTTTTTTCTCATTACTCTCTCCTCACCTAGCTGCAAGGTACTCCCCATTGTACCTCCTCAGCTAGTAGTCTCCATGCTGTCCCCTCCTCTCTCCCCATACCCACTGCCCTCATCCTGACTGCTCCAGTCTGCTTCTTCATGCCAACACAAACAACTCTGAGATGGTAACCTGAATTTCACGTTTCTTCCCCGGTTTCATCATTCTTTGCAGGGCGGTGACGCATGGAATATTCAACCACATTCAGCTAAGGCATGGAGCTCTCTGCTACTCCCTCTTGTGTTCCAGTCACATGGTTGCCCAATAGCTTGCTGGTTAACTGGTGTGAGGATCCTCCTTGTGCTGTTTCTGTCTGGACTCTGTGCTCCCTTCCAAAGAGTCCTGCCTGCCTCTGACCGTCTCCTATGTCTCCCTCTGTTTTTTTCTCTGACCTGTGACCCAGTCACAGGCTGTTAGCATTCCCTTCACATTATTATCCCTGACAGGATTCTAAGTGTTGCAAATCTGAGGGTACCTCCAAGGCAGAAAGCATTATTACCTCCACATGTCCAACACCATAAGGAAGGCCTGGCTGCCCATCAGCTAGTGTGTGCATATAATGAACAAGGCAGTGAAGAGGTTGTCAGACTTGGAGGAGGGACACTCACCTTACATGCTACTCGGTGTGGACATAACTTTCCAAACCCCAGGGGAGGCTGGATTCGTCGGAGCAGAGTGACCACGTCAAGGTGCTTTATCCTTCCCCTGGAAGCGAAGCACAACCTGAGGTCCTAGCCAGCACGACCTTGCACGAGCTTTTAGCCTACCACCTCCGCCCTGTAGAACTCACCACTGACATCCCCCAAAGAACTCCCACAAGCCAGAAGGGAGCTTGTCAACCTACTTTGCTTCAGGGTCGTATTCTGACCATATCCTCTTGAATTCATCCAAGTGGTGAGGCCCCAGAATAGACCAGTCCCGTGTCAGATAGTCAAAATTGTCCATGATAACGGCCACAAAGAGGTTGATGATCTGGAAAAGTCAATCATGAGGGTGTTTCAGTGGTGGGAGGAGGGATTACTTAGACTGTTTCACCGCCTCCTAACTACAGGGCCATGGAATATTGGAACCCACATATCCAAGTTGCAGAGGCAGGCCATAGTACTCTCTCAGGGGAAAATGGTGACTAAAAGGGCAGGAGTCTGACCAGATGGCTTGGCACATACTCAGGAGGGGGCGGGTGGGTGTGTAAGCTGGCACCCTGAAGCACACTGTAATTGTATAATTTAACTGCAACTAGAGACAGCTCACACTTCAAAGGCACTTAAAGCCCTGTGTAGTGACTTTGAAATTTTAGAAAGGAAACAGCAGCCCTCAGTAACAAGGTTGGGTGAAAATTACCACCAGCCCATCAGTGGGGACCCGACCAGCCCAGACGGCAGGGACACGTGCAGGATTAAGCAAAGCTGCCACCTGCCTGGTTGGGCCCAGAGTAGACCGACCACATCAAAGCACTGTGACGGGGCAGTGCTACTGGTCTGACCCCAAATGCCACAGCAGTGCTGTAAATGGAAACGGGGCTTTCGACTGCTTACCAGGAATGCGCAGAGCATGTAAAAGCTGATGAAATATACAATGGCAAAGTTGCTCCCGCAAGAGTATTCCTCTCCTGGGTTGTAATCTGAGTCCGGGTCACACAGCTTCCCCGGGAGGCAGGCAAGCATGATTTCCTGCCAGGCTTCCCCTGTCGCACATCTGTTTGAATTAAGAGGAAGGGCTTTAATTGGGGAAGGGGCAAGGAAATGATGGATTAAGCATTTGGAAAGAAAATTATCAATTTGTGCAAGATGTCAGTGCTGAAGCAATGCCGTTTGGATTATCAGACACAATTTAGTCCCTAGAGGCCCCGGTGTAATAGGATTTATAAAATGTCCGAGGCAATTTTTTTGTAGAAATGTATATTCATTTTTCTCTGTCTCTTCTTCAAATATTTCTATTAGAATTATTTAATGATCAGTCCTGATTGATTTTGTTGAAAGGAAAAATTAGAAATCACCTAAATTATGAATAAGTTGTTACAGTTACTGGAGTCATTAGATATTGCTTCCTTGTTTCTAGAAAGTTCTCTCTCACTATAAGAAAGATTGTTTACAAAGTTAATTAGCTGGGATTAAAAACAATCCCATAAAATGTGAAGTTGTAATGCTCTGAATTGGCTTTTCAGAGTATGTTAATCTTGCAATTTGCCAGAAAAACCAACTCCACCATTTTGGGCCAAATTTAAAGCAAGCGTTTATTAAATATTAAATACTGACCAAGATCTGGACTTTGGTCAGGACCGTTCCCCAGAGTTTCCCAGCTGGAATGGCGTTGAGGCACGTGTCACAGGGGCTTATAAGATCAAACTTATAGGCCACTGCATTTTTAGATGAGGCTTTGTTATTTCCCAAGAACTACAGTTCCCAGCATTCCAGGAAGTCACCTGGTTCCTGGGCATGTGGAGCTGACAGGTTAATTTTGGGAATCACAAATGCCCCCTATTTTTCTGCCCTTTCTGTCCCCCTGGCTATGCTTGTGTGCTCTTCATGCATAGGCATCAATCCTACAATGTTTTGTTTGTTTGTTTCTGCTGACCTAAGTGTCAGCTACAATCTGAACGACTGGCAGTTTCAACAGTGTAGCCAGATTCTCTGCAACAGAAATGCTAGTTCTGCTTAAGAATACAAAATTGGGGCCAGTGAGATGGGTCAGTTGGAAAAAGGTGTGTGCTGTGCAAGCCTGACGACCTGAGTTCAATCCCCAGACCCTACGTAAAAATGAAAGAAGACTGACCTCACAAATTTATCTTCTGACCTTCACGTGCACAGTGCCATGTCCAACCCACACGAGTATCATATTCATACATACAAATATTTATACATGACATAAAAATAATAATGTTTTTAAAAGGTATAAAACACCTTATCATAGTAGAACTCATAATACCAGCATTTTGAGGGCTGAGGCAAGAGGGTTGCCGTGAGTTTGAGGCCAGCCTGAGTACAGAGTAATTTCCAGGTCAGCCTGGGCCACATACTGAGACCCTGTTTCAAAACAAACAAAGTAAGGAACTAGCAAATATAGAACAACAAAGCAAATCTGTGGAGACATAACCAGCAAGGGCAAATATGATGCCAGCTGGTCAGAACCCTAGGGTGTCGACCGACCCCCCAGGACCTAGTCACCTGAAGAGCAGCAGCACAGCCTGGGGAAACGTCTGAAAGTTGTTGTTCCTATTGATCTGGTTGTTGTCTCTCATGGCAACTTTCCCAAACATCTAGACAAGAAGTTGTCAGAGGGAGAAAAAAAATCAGATTTTCATCATTGTTACAGTTTAGAATTTGAAGTTCTCTCAAGGTTCATGTGGTCAGAGGCTTGATCCTTGAGGGTAGCACTTCGAGAGGTGGGGCCTAGTAGGCCCTGAGGCCACTGGGGTAGTGTCTTCCCAGGGGAATGTGGGAAGCTGACACCCTGTCTCTCTGAGTGCATCTGTCCCATGATGCATTTCTTCCCCGGTGTCCTGCTTTGTCATAGGGGAAAACAATGGGCTAGTCAATCGTGGATTAGACCACCTCCACTGCAGGCCTTAGGAGACATTTTCTCTTTATGAGTTAATTATCTCCAATATTTCAGTAGAGTAATGAAATGCTGACTAACACAGTCATATAAAAAGACTTATGTGAATTTAGAACTAACTCAGGCTTAATTAACAACTGGCACTTTCTGCACTCTTCACAGATCCTCTAGGCACAGCACATGCCCTGAGCTACCTCTTTATTTATGAGGACATGTAATTCTTATCCTATAACTCCCAGTAAAATTCCTAAATGTACTTCTGTGTCATCAGGACAGTAAATAAGTACAATGTCTCTCTGTGCTGGAGTTAACTCACCTCTCTCACTTGCCCTCTCTCTAGTCAGAATGACAACATTCTACCAAAGGTAGAGGATTTCCCTCTGGCTATTCATTGCCAAACTCAGAGCTGTTCATTGCCCTCCAGCTGATCCAGGGTACTAGGACTCAGCTAAGGTCAATGGATCCCTAGACCTTTTCCAACCCAGGAGCATATGCTCCAGTCTCTCAGCCTAAGAGCCTGAGTCTACGCCTTTCTGGAAAAGTATGGTGCCCAGATCCAGCCCTAACCGTGCCACCTGGAGATACATGAGAATCCCGACACAATAAAGCAGGATTCTGCAGAGTATCAACAGCTGTGGACTTCTCAGTACCTTCTGAGTATCATCAGTAGAGTGCACGTGGTCTCCAACATGGACGACAGGGGCATATCCTTTCCTACTGGGACGCCTATGACATTCTCCTGCTCAGATCAACTACAGGTCTTCTCATCTAGTTCATTATCCTAAAGATAGGAGTGTGTGTTGGTGGGGAAGGGAGCTAGCACAGCTTATTCCTCCTACATCTTGAACTCTCCATCCTTCTAGGTCTGGTTTCCTCTAGCACTAGCTGTCCTGGAGCTCAATCCCACCAAAGGGGTCATAATGTTCTCCTTATCTCTTCAGCAGCCAAGGCATTTGGCTGAAGACATCATGACCTCATGACCTTGCTTTTCCACTTTACTTGGTCTGCTGTATAGATCTGGGCAGGGGTGGGGCGACTGGGAAGGAAAATCAGCTGCCACTTACCTGCATACCAATGACTGCATAGATGAAGAAGAGCATGGCGATGAGGAGGGCGACATACGGGAGTGCCTGTGAGAGACAAAGTATTGGGGTTGGTGGGTGCTGGACACTAGTCCTTGTGCCTGCTCAGCCTACATGAGGCCTGGCCCTGCACAAGTACTCCAGTCCTGGGGATCCATGCACCTGCACACCTAGAGTTACAAAGTGTAGGCAGGCAGGGCGTGCTTCCCAAGCTCACTGTTACCCTGTGCTAACCCTAAAGGTTTTTCATACAGACTTGTAGATGCCAGTGGGTTTTAATGTACTCTGCAACCTTCAGGGAAATGCAATTGACCAAAGTGTTGTAAAGACCAGATGCCCCGAATATTTCCACTTTCTCTGTATCTGGGGTAGGCGTTGGGTAGTAGCTGTAGAGCAGCCAAGAAACTTCTTCATGCACCTTGATTCTGGCTTTCCTTCAGACGAGACCTTGGGAGTAGAGTTACTGAACCAGAGGCTAAAAAAACCATTTCGGAATGCAAAACACTTTAAAACGCACCATTGGCAACACATTTCACGAAAATATCTCTTACATTTAAAAAGACTGCAAGTTTCGCTGGACCTCACAGCTAACACACCTTGAGGTCACTTGGCTTTTAATTCTGCTGTGTACTCAGCCTGTTTGTTTAGCTTTTCCTTAAGATAACAACGTAACAGCAACTTTAGCTTGGTTTTCCTATATAATCCTATAACTAGAGTAAGTTATGCACTCTTTTATACCCCTGACCTAAAAAGCAATTCATGTGTGTGTTAGGGTAATAAATGCTGAAAACCGAGAATAGATTGAAAACAATATTGTACAAGTATCTGTCATGTATGTTGAAATTAGCCTCTAGATAAACTTGATGATGGTTTGTTTGCAGCATTGAGTGCTTTGGGGTCTGTAATAAATGACAATCTCTTATAAAACTCTGCTGAAGATTTCTGAAAAATATCCATCATTTCTTCTGTTTGTGATACTTTCTGTGCTGCTCAGTAAGTACAGAGCAAAGCCTTTCTTTAGGGACAGTAAGACATCAGTCAGACTGAGGAAAGACAAAACATGAGGACAAATGACTATACAACTGACAGACTACAGACAAGCCAGCAAGTACAGACTACAGAAAGACTGAAGACAGGGAGTGATGTGGAGACTTCAAACTTGGAGTCACTCTTGATCAAATTAATCCAAGGGGAACTGCTGAGCTTTCTTTTCTTAATGTGACTCTGGTGCGCCGTGGTGTGTCTGAGGTTGTATCAGAAGCTTTTCGCTGAACCATGTGCTCATTGGAGAACAGCTACAAAGTCAAGGGCTTGGCGCAGGAAGAAACGAAGCTAGCAGAGTGGTAACAAGACCAGGATCACCTTAAAAGCACCCAAACAAGTACTTGTTCTGGCCAGACCTGAGTCCTTTCACTGGTGGCTCTTCTCCATCACCACACGTGACAAATGCATCTGTGTGTATGGTAGCACAGGGCTGCCTAGGCTGTTGGGCTTAATCCCAGGCTCGGGTGACTAGAAGAGCCCTTTCTCACCGATTTCAGAAAGCACATAAGGATGCTGACAGGGCACTCACAGGTTTGGGGCTCAGTGACTTGCAGTCTGGCCCAGTGTGGCAGCGCCATGTCAACAGATACACTGTCTATTAGAGTCCCACGGGACTCTGCACTTTCTTCCTAGACATCCAAATGTTTGAGAATTGAGGGCAGACTGTCTCAGGGCAAATCACTCACATGGCTTCTTTACCTACTCATTTGTTTATTTGTTTGTTTGTTTTTTAAATTTAATAATTTTGTCAAGAAACAAAAAACATTCATGTTTTGCATGAATGCACTCTGTTATGCCAGTAGCTCACCTCTGGAACTTGACACAAGTGACCACGGAAAACTACAGGGCTTGGCTACACCCAGTTCTCTGGCCTTGGGTACATTCCCTGTCTATATCTGAATCACACCCCTCTTTCTCAGTCTTCATCCTTCTCAGCAGGGCTGTGATTTCCTTTCTGTGAGCTTTTGTCTTCTTCTTTCCCTAAATGCCATATCTTTTTTCCTTTTCCCTATTCACCATGAAAAAAAATTAATGGAATTTTCCACTGGTTATCCCAATGGTGGTGAGGGGCAAACTTAAATTTTTTCTTTATAAAACTTCATTTGTTCACATGAGCATTTGACTCACAAATGAAACACAGCTGATGAGGAAGTGAAGGTGTACTCTGCAATGTTTGTGCATGTTCATGAATTCCCTATACAGCTGCTTCTTTTATCACAAATCTGTATTTATTCTCCACTCAGCCAATTCAGTCTAGATGAGGGTAATGTCTACAGCAGGACACCAGAAGGTACAGGAGAAGCTGGTTCTGCTCAGAATGGACTAGAACCAATCTAAGGAATCATGGGTATCAAATAAGGCCAGGTGGATACGTAGATGAACAAACTCTAATTTTACCAAGTGAGAGACCAAAGAACTAAAAATTAATTTTTGGGGGGTATTGGTTTAAAGTTTAAAGCACAAGCCTGAACAAAGGCCAGCCAGGCTGAGACATGTCCAGCCACCTACAGGGGTGGGACTAGCTTTACTGCATTCTTTTCCTGCCTACTAGAGATACAGTTGCTAAGAAACTGGCCCAGATGGCCAGGCCAGAACTGTTTATAGACTTGGCACCTAAAGTAAACCAATCATTTCAAAAGTCAATTTCCCTTACTCAATCATGTAAAACCAAGGCATGTAACTCCCTGCTTGCGCTTTTTCCCTTTAAAAACCTTGTTCCCCTAGATGGCCCCACCACACTCCTCCTCTTCACCAAGCTCGGGCTTGAGCTTGTATTAAATAAACCTCATGTATTTGCAGCAGAATTGATTCCTGGTGGTCTTTGGGTATCTCACGAACTGGGCATAACACAAGCACCCAGTAACCTAGTGGAAGTACAGAATCCACCTAAGAGAGAGGCTTTTTGTGGTGGTTTGAATGCAAATGCCCCACATAGACTAATATGTTTCAATGCTTGGCTTCCCAGTTAGTGGAACTGTTTGAGAAGGGTTAGGAGGTGTGACCTTATTGGAGAAGGTGTGTCCCCGGGGTTGGGCTTTGAGGTTCCAAAAGCCTAGGCCAGGCCCAGTCTCTGTGTTTATGTGTCTGTCCCTCTCTCAGCCTATAACTTGCAGGTAAGATGTGAGCTCAAAGTAACTTCTCCAGCACCCATGCCTGCCCACTGCCATGCTCCCAGCCATGCTGATCGTGGACTCACCCTTTGAAACTATAAGCCCCAATTAAATGCTTTATTTTATATGTTGCTTAGGTCACAGCAATAGAACAGTAATTAACACAGGCTGCCAGGATTCAGGGTGTGTGCAGCGACATTCCCTCTCTCAGTCTTTACTCACTGACATTGCTGGACATTCTGGGCAATCAAAAGTCCATTTGGAAAACATTGCAGATCTCTGATTTTCAGGGACATATCTCTGTCTCTCATTTAGCATCCCATAATCTCTACTGACAAGTTGGTCACACTCAGAATTGGGGCCTTCTGGGACAGACGACAATCCCTGCCTTAGATAAGCTCTCAAGGGCAAAAAGGGAGGTCCTGTGTTGCTCTTACCTGAAAGGACTTAATGAAAGTCCACAGCAGTGTCCGGATGCCTTCCCCCCTGCTGAGAAGCTTCACCAATCGCATCACTCGGAAAAGACGGAAAAAGGTGATGGAGATTCTATTGCTCTCTTCAGAGTTCTGAAGGATTATCATTGAGAGGTCAAACCCAGTGGGAAGTAGAACATGCAACACTTTCAGAAAAACAGCAACAGACGCAAAGGTGACAGAGGTGAGAACTGAAGATGTGTTTCTAGGGCCTTTCACCTCAAAAAGCATGATATGAAAGGAAGACACATGCTAACAACACAGGGCTCAGGAAAAAAACTGCATCCACACAGCACATGCATGTCCACGGGTTCTACTGTGTTAGAGGAGAACGCTGGGCTGCTCAAGAGAACTGGACACTGATGATGGATGCAAACCACTGCAGACACTGTTCTGAAAGGACAATCATGGAGAATACAGAACACCAGTGGAAAACTTGACATGGTCAAATAAACTCAAGGAGAAGGCCCAGCCCCTGGGACCAGCCACTGATCTTACCCCAGGTGTAGCAGTTGGGAGAGGGACATTTTCACTTTCAGTTGGCTTTAAGAGATCAAAGATTGAAATGTATTAATGAAGGGGGAAGGAACCAATGGCTCAGGAGCTAGTCCCCCCTTTTACCAGTGTGTTGTTAGTGTCTTTGGTCAACACAGTGGCTCCCTCCCTGAGAAGATATCGATGCCTTACTCTGGAACTAGACTGGAGTGGACAACAGCCATTGACAGGAGTGTACACACTCTATTCTAGTCTAGTTTCCTCTCAGGGATGTGATGTCTTAGGAGACTGATGCCTGCTCAAAGGTTGTGGTACATACCTAAGTGGTCTCTAAAGACACAGGTTCAGAGAAACCTCTGCTTCTCTGGCTTAGCCAAAGGAGATGACCTCCTACAGCACGCCTCCTGGCCTCTGGCCACGGGGCAAACAGTGTCTCTTCCTATGTTCCCCGTACATAAGTGTGATGTGTGCTCCATGGGATCAGTGTCTTTGCTGAAAGCCTGGAAGGCCTGGTCCATGCAAGGGATAGAGGCAGGCCTCCCTCCAGCAGCCTGCACTGCTTGACTCCACTTTCAATCTGACCCCAGTCAAGCAAGCACTCCAGTCTTGAGGACTCCAGAAGAACATCATCGGACCTGCTTGCCTGAGCCCCAGTAGCTGTCTCACCTGGGTCTGACTGTGTGTCCCCAATGGTCCTCACTTGTTTCTCACCTTGGAGGGGGGGCTGAGCCCTTCTTCACTCTACTCAGTGCTCAGTAGAGCACCTTTAGAGAATTGCTTAAGGAAATACAAAGATGCTAGAGGCAAGTTTTCCCTACCAGGAAGCACCTTTAAATGACAATAGCAAGAATAGGGGAAGGACAGCCTCTTATGTCTCCTGCCTGCTCCTTCCTGTCATTTCCACAGAGGCAGTGGGTCTTCCTGGGACTGAACAAAGGACAGGCTCCTCAGCTGATGGTTCCCAACAAAGGCTTTCTGTGGCACACAGTAAAACTATACAGGGAAGATAGGTGGGCATACTGCTAGCCGCCTCCTTGCCTGGGGACATGGAAAAAGAAAGGCTTGCTTCCTGAGACCAAACAAAAGCATTCTATGAACCTCAGTTGAAAAAAAAAATTTGGGTTGGGATACATAGGAGGATACTTGTAATTCATCAGTGACTCTGGACCCAAGAGCAGGTCCTGACCACTAAAAAAGGCTCTAGTTTATTTGGATACCCAGAACAGGAGCTCTGCTATAGGCATGTCAGAACCCAGGATTATAAACTTTAAGTTCTTTTATACCTCATGCCAGAAGTAATGACATACCTTAAAGTGATGGGTCGTTTTTTTAAATTAGGGAGTATGGTCTCATTATGTAGCTTGGGAGGTTGGCCTCAAACTATGACAACCCCCATCTGTACCTCCTGGGCTACAGGTGTGAGCCACCACACTTAGCTTAGAGCGTGCGGTTGTTGCTGTTTGTTTTTTTAACGTGAGGCTTTAACATTTACAGGAATTGGTCTCCCAGGACTCTCGTCCCCCACATCACTCTTCCTCAGGACCGTGGAAAGGGAGGTGTCACTCTTGGCGAGGCAGCTGGACAGCACATAGCTGAGTGTGTGTGTTGTGTGTGTGTGTACACCTCCATTTGTCTATGCTCAGAGGACTGGAGAAGGTAGAGCACAGCCCTCTGCAGCTATGTTCTATAATGCCTGGGACATATGTGGGAGCCCCAGGAAGCCGGCTCTTTATGGCCACCTCTTCTGCTTGTCCCTCCCTGCTGCTCCATGACAGGCCATTTGTGATCCTCTTCCTTTGGGCTGAGGAAAGTTGGATAAACTGAGTTTTAAAATGTGTATCTTTTGAACTATCTGAAAAATGACAATCATTAAATTTACCCCCCCCCCCTTTTTTGAGACGAGGTCTCACGTAGCCCAGGCTGGCCTCCAACTCACTATATAGCTGCCTCCACCTCTCATATACTGGGGTTACAGGTGTGGACCACAACACCTAGTCAAATTCTCTTTCTTTTTTTTTTTTTTTTTTTTTTTTTTTGAGAGGGGGAGAGGAGACAGCACTTGTCAGGAGACAAAGCAGTGAACCACACAACACAGGAATGAAAGAACAAAGCACTTCAGGCTGCATGCACATCCAGAGTGGCCTGAGACATCACCCCGGACACCACACATCATAGGGCAGGAAAGACTGCTATAGGGGAGGATGTATCTGGCAGTGGGGGAGAGGGGAGGAGGGCCATGCAGGTTGACAAAGTATCTTTCAAACTGGAAGGCCCCAAGGATGGCTTTGTTCCACCTGCAAAGAAGGCAGCTGCTCTGATCCTGAGATACACTCTAAAGCTAACCAATGCCCATGGGCCACCCAACAGTTCTTTTCTACATGTCAGGAATTTTGAAAGCCACCAAGCTATTCTGATGTGCTCTCAGAGTGGAGAATTTCAGTCCCTAGTCCACAGTTATGTTGGACCAGGTATTCAGCAGATCTCTCTCGGCAGCAGCAGAGCGGTCACAGAGGACGGGCCCACTGGAAATGCCCACGTGGGCTGTCATGCTGAGCAAGGGTATTAAACGCCACCTCTATCGTCTTTCCAAGGGATAAAGGGGCACTGAAAAGGGAAGGTCGAGGATTGGCAAGGGATGTAAGTGACCTGGCCCAGTGCTCAGCTTCTGAGATGGCCCACAGGTAGCCCTACGGGACACCAGGCAGGGGAAAGACTTGGGCCCTGAATGCCTTAATTCTTAAGAACTCTCCACTATCATCTAAAGGTTTGGGACAGAAAGCTTTGGTAGCTCCTGCTGTTGCAAGGTCTTGCTCCTCAGCCTGGTCCCTGGCTACCATATGAACTTGAGAGCTAAACTCATTCTGACAGCAAACTGAATGAAATGATGGAGGCCCAGTTTAAGCCGGGGACTTGACAAGGCAGTCCCAGGATCTGAGAGTGAGCTCCTATGGATATTTTACATGTTCTTTGATAAACAAAAAGCAGCCACAGTTTCTAAGCAAGACCACCCCCTCCCGGGCAACAGTGGGATTGAAAAAGACGAAATGTCAGCAGCAGCCATTCCTGGGTCAGAATACTTGTTGCTTTCATTTCAGAACTCAAGGAACAAACAGGATCAAAGGGAAAGCAAAATTAGTCTACCAGGTGTCATCCAACACCTAACAGCTTGGTGATGTTACAAACAAAGGTGAAGGAGACAGGTCCAGAAAAGCTATCACACCATGAACAAACAGGGTGGGGAGCATGGAAGGGGTAGCAAGATGGAAAGGGCCAAATGAGCATGCAAACAGGACAATGCAAAGGGCCATCCTTTTTTTTTTTTTTTTTTTTTTTTTAATACAGAGAATATAAACAAGCTAGAGTTCTCATTTTCCCAGCCAGATCATTCATTCTGGAGAGCTGCCTTGGTGAGTCACAGAACCAATGTGACTGACCAAGCAAGCCTGAGCTCAGGCCCCGGCCACAGATGAGGACATGGGAGAAGAAACAGGTTAGATGAGCATGGCTGATCCTTGGCAAGTCCTGTGAAACTCAGTGGAGCACCAAAGGTGGGAAGCAGAGGCAAAGTGTACAGTCTCTAGAGGCGCTTTGCTTAACGACTTCACCGTATATATGATTATATATACTTGCCGCTACAATTTTCTAAAAATAAAACCAACATGAAAAAAATCAATTAGGCAACAGAAAAGAAAAGATCAACAGAGTCTAGGGAGAGAGCATAGCAGGTTAAACATCACAAAACAACATGATGATTGTCAGACCAGCCAACAACAGACCAAGGATATTCATGCTCAGTTGACTCTGGACATCAGGAGACAAGGCCACTGAGGATGTGACATGCATCGCTCTCTTGGGGAACCATGTATGTATGGAGAGAGGACAAAGGAACAGATATCCCTATTCTTAGGTATCTATAACATCAGAAATTTAGAATGTTCTGTCGGGTTTTTTTTTTTTTTTTTTTTTTTTAATCTTTGGTCATTCCCAGAGACTAGCTCCAAGCCTACAAGTGGTAGATGCCCAGTTAAACTGGTGTTGAAGACAGAACGAATTAGCAAGGAGCATAACCTTTGCATCAAGGGGCACTGGACCAACACTGAGATCTCTGCAGGTAACCCAGGGTCGAGAGCTGCCAGGGCCAAGCTTAAGAGTATTCAACTAGTCAGGGAAAGGTCACTGACTGACAGCAGGTTGGGGACCTGGGAGTATTCCCCAGTGTGAATCTTCAATGAGAACTGGGTATCATGAGAGGCTTTGCACATACACCTGGCATAAACCACTAAGTAGATACTCAAGCATAGACTTTCCCAATCCACAGAGAAGCACAACCACCCTGAGACATTGCAGGCAAGGCCAGGCCAGAGTTGAGAAGCGGGGCCAGCTCCCAGCGCATGAAGCAGGTGTTGCCTCTGAGCGTATGGAGTCACACAAGCTAGCCAGCAGGTGAGCAGCACGAGGAAGCTGGGTTTAGCTGGTCAACAAGCCTTGGCTACATTCTGGTACCCAGAAACTAGGAGTTTATGACCTCTGGTTCACAGCACCTAAAGTCTGTTAGGACAACAGCGTGGGTATTTTAGCATCTGTCACAGGTTGTTTCTAACCCATGGGAAGCTCCTTGACACACAGCACAGATACTTCAGAGGCCTTGGGATGACTGAGGCAGTCAGCTGTCATGCCGCACGGCAGCCAAGGCAGGGTCCTGCTGTTGTTGCAGTAATGCCAGATTATGCACCCACACACCGTTTACATGTCAGGAACGGCAACTTTCTAGCTGACTACACTATATGTCTTGTAAAGTTGAATTTCACAGTCTGGGCTTAAGGGGGTTGAGAAAGGTGTGTACGCAGGCCTAGTGAAATGCCATTTTACTGTGTTGGCATTACATGGATCATGGTGTGATGGGGCTTACATCAGGCTTTGGTGGCCACGGTAATATCTTACAGTCCATTTTACATAGTACACGGGGAAATATTTGTGCAGAATAATAGTATCTTCATAACCCTTTGGTTTAATGAGTATTTTCACAAATATTTCCATCATTTGATTCCCAGCAAATATACTCACTCTGATGGACCTATGAGTGAGGAAAACAAGCCTGGTTCAAAACGTCAAGGTTGAAGAAGGTCTGGAACTGCCAGATGAGTGGCTGTCCGACCTTCCATACCGACTAAAGTCAGCTTGGCATCATCAGAGGGGCATCAAGGAATAGCACTGTCCCCATTTAGTACAGGTGGTCTGGGCACCAGGATGGGCCTGACAGTTCTCAGCCCTGTATATGTCAGCAAGGCAGAGCAGAGGCTGGAGTGGCAGGGGCGGCACTGGCCTAGCAACACAGAGCAGAAGCCAACACCATACTACACGGCTTCCCCAGCCTGGCGCACCACTGTGAGAGGTATACACTGACACACACTAAAACCTGCCGAGGAACTTGGTACAGGCCAACGAACTGGGCCCTTTTCCAGTTGCCTTGGACCTTCACTTGAGGTAGCTGGCATCCCTTCTCAAATTCTGATGTTTGAGTTGTCAGCTTGCTTGTGGTGGGGCTTGCTTCTCCTATTATGTAGGTGTTCCCTTGTTAGAAAACTAATGTGACAAAGAGGGTACTGAGTCCTGACACACGCCAGCAATACTCTTTGGGGATCAAGGGCCAGTGTCAGCAGCTGGATTCAGAGCAGACTCATAGAAGGAGAGTGGTAGCAACTACCTCAAAACCAGGCATGGCTACAGCGGTCTCCTGCCATCGCAGGACCACGTGGGTTCAAGGCCACATGATTAACTCCATCCTATAGCTGGGAAAGCTGAGATGCAAGGCAGCCAGAGGGTGCTAAGGTTACCCAGCTAGAGAGTGACGGCACCTTTAAAGATGGTGTATGCTCTTTTTGAAAGAAGCGTTCTAGTTCCAAAGTGGCACTTTTACGCTTATGTCTTCATTTTTTTAGGGTGAGGGACGGAGATAGGGCAAGGAAAGGAAACCACACACTGACTTTCATCTTTCAAAATGAATTGGTGTTTGTAATTCTTATGTTCATGGAGATTCCTGGGTGGCCCTTCTAGTCTCTTCTACATCAGGCTTAATGAGAACATTCACGTTAAGGGACACAAAGTTTGCTACTTACATTCACTTCAGTTATAGCAATATCAACGACGCTACCAACAACAATTAAGGCATCAAAAGTGTTCCATGCATCAGTGAAATAGTGCTGTTAGGCAAGCATTCAGAAGCCACAGAGGACAGGAAGCACAACAGGAAAAAAGAAGAAAAGGACAGTGTTAACAATATGCCACTGGACTATTTAAAAAATCGCCCCAAGACAAACATGTCATAGATACGTCACTTTGGATGGACTTTGACAGAGCAAATGGAAACAACCAGAGACACCCTATCTTACCTTGCCTACTAGTGCCTGGGGTCAATGGTGCCAGAGAGTCAGCCCTGCAAAGGTGATTTGTGTCTGCAGAGGCCTTGGGCTAAGGCTCTAGGCTAGAAGGTTCTTTCCCACAGCCTGTAAGGAAATGTCTAGCTTCCAACCATGTGTGACTGGGATCTGTGACTTGTCCAGGTGATGCCACATCAGGGCAGGGAGCGGAGTGTGCAGACAGGAGAGAGAGGACGCAGGCCGCACAGGTGCGTACTTACGTCGGCTTCGCTGAGGGCCACGTCTATAATGCTGCCGATTACGATGAGGGAGTCAAACGTGTTCCAGGCGTCACTAAAATACCCCTGGACAGAGTAGGCAGGGGCAGATGTTTATGAGCTCTTGTGAAGGGAACATCACATGGATCATACAGGGACACGTCCGAGTCCCCACAGCACCCATAGCAACCAGGGAAGGGGTCAGGAAGGCCAAAGGGAAGACAACAATACTGTCCACTGGTGGAAAGAGGCACAGAGGGGTGGTTGTGCTGTCATATATGTGATAAAGGGGATAGGTGCGCGCGCACACACATATGCATGTGCGCACACACACACACACACACACACACACACGCACACACACACACGCGCGCGCGCGCGCGCGCGCACCCCCCCCCCCCACACACACACAAACAGACCTAGGGCCCTGGGCAGATTGAGGTAATCCTGTCCTGATACCCAGGATCTGCCCCAAACCCTCATGAGCTGATGGAACAGTGAGGCTCCCCTACACTTTCAAGAGTCTCCAAGCACCCCTCATCTCCCTTTTCCCACGTAAAGCCACCGGAACAGCAGCCTCCCCCATCCTCTCTAGGCCAGCAAAGATAACAACAGGCCGTGCAATGCAGCAGGATTCCCAAGAGCCCTTAGCTTAAAGGACATATAGAGACTTATCCAAAGGTCATAGCTTATAGGGAGACAGACAGAGAGATGCAGAGCCTTGAGGCAGAGCCCGGTGGCACAGAAACTCTTGATTGTGGAGCAAAGACAAGCCAAAGTAGGTTCTGCAGGAGAGAGTTCTGAAGGATGAAGAGGATGCTTCAGGGCTCCCACATGGCCAATGGTGTCCTCTATCCCAACCCTTGCTTTTCTCTGTTCTTTCCCTCTTCTAGGCTAAGCGAACTCCTCTAGGTCCCCCACCATCCTCTCTGGCTCTTTCCCATCTCTCAATACCTCTGCAACCCCAATGACCTCAATCAGCTCAAATCCACTTCCTCCTTTGCGGTCAGACAAGTGTCCGATCCTTCCTGGAACTTTCCCAGATCCTTCTGACAGCCTATATACTCTATCACGTTGAGTGTACCTTTGTCACACCTCCATCCAGAAGTCTACCACACCAAAGCCTTCTAAGGAGGAAGACCACAAAACATATTTTATTATCACCTCCACCAACCGTGTCAGCCACCCAAAACCTCAAATCCAGTCAGTGTTTGATACATGGTTATGTCTTTCTCCACAAATCTGTACCTTAGTTTTTCCTGGTTCCTAGTTTTTAGGTCCTTATGTTGTGTGTCAGTTCTAACGTACTTGGAACTTAGAAATTTAAGATGTATATTCTGGGTGGTTTATGCCTTCTAGGACCTTCATGCTACATGCTTAATTGGCAGCTGTTGAGTCCCAGCACCACTGGGAAGCCACACTGGACGTGGTGGTTATATTCTGTACCCAGTTGGAGGCTTCCAATTCCCTGGGCTCTACTGTCAAGATCTGTCTATAAGCCAACTGTATCTTGCAAAGGTAGAGCATGTTTTAAGAATAAAAATCTAGATCCAAACTCTAGAAAGAGGGACTGAGGATATGTACAGCGAGTACAATTACAGCCGAATTAAGCAAAACAGAACAGGGGTACTGTGACGTGTCAAGGCCTGGGAGCCACAGACTCCTGTTGTACTATGGAAAGGCTGGACATGTTGACTCCTAACAACTGGAGTGCAGTGTTTCCTGTTTACTACTTAATGGCACTCCCATCCAGCTACAGGAAGTCACTCATTCTGACTGATGCTGCTGACAATGAGACTCCCAAATCCAACTTCAGTGACTTCTGATCTACTCTTGGTCTCTCCTTTACAAACATGGTGTCTCTTACCCTTGCCCCTCCCCCACTGGCTGATGCTGAAACAGTTCAAGGAGCAGACAAACAGAATTGTCCTGCATCAAATCCAACAGGAATGCTTGCTTAAAAGCACAGCTCAGAGGTCCTTAATTTGCTTCTCACAAACACAGGATTCTTAGCTGGATAAATAGAGGAAAGACAGGCACCACTGAGGTATGGACTTGTGATGTGCAACTTGTGGCCAGAGGATAAAGAACTGGCCCCAGGACACAAGAGACTGCCTTCCGCTTCCTTCCCAAGGTAGTCTCCGGACACAGAGGGCAGCTGGGTTGCATAATGCCTCCAGCATCACAGAATACTCTTAAACCGTTTATACTATTGTGAGTGAGGAACAAACAGTCCACTAGCTGGCAGCATCACTGCTGTGGAGGTCCTTCCTTCCTTCCTTCCTTCCTTCCTTCCTTCCTTCCTTCCTTCCTTCCTTCCTTCCTTCCTTTCCTTCTTTCCTTCTCTCTCTCTCTCCCTCTTTCCCATAGACTCTCCTACAAGGTGGAATGTATTCCTCAATGCAATACTAAGACTACAAAACACTAGTAGAGCACCCAAAGACCGAGCCTCCTTCCCTCACTTCCTGACTGGCCCCTGCTCTGCTTTGTCATCCTGCCGGCTAGATCTGCAGCAGGATAGCCCCACGTTGTGTGGGCTGTGCAGCAATTTCTCTTGCAGCCCCTTTCTGTTTCCACGATGACCTGCGTTCCAACTCTGGGTCATTCCTGTCTGTGTATAAGCTCTTCTTCAGGGAACCTTTTCTGGTGCACTGTGGTGGACAAAAACCCTTCAAATCAGCAAAGAAAGGGGCTTAACGCTCTCTAGGAACTTTTTGGAAAGCAGATAGGTTAAGAAAATGTCTCACAGTTCCAAAATGGTGCCCAAATCCTTACAGTTCACAGACTAAAGGTTGACACAACTCATCTACACCACAGGAAGTTTCCTGGTGCAAGTTGCTGGAGAAGAAGTCTCTGGCCAGGTGGCTCCGGTAGGAGTCCAGGGGAGGCAGAAATGCCAGCCCTCCTTTTCTTCCCACACACTGCTCCCCTGTTTAGCAGCCTCCCATTTCATGAAATCACTGCCGTGGCAGCATGACTCAGCTCCTCCACCCTCTCTGCATGGAAGACACCATGGCTCCTCACACAGGGCCATCTCCACCTACCCTCACAGCTGAAGGAGTGACACACTCTGCAATAACTGAACTCTGAAGCCAGGGCCTCTCAAGTGGGAGCAGCAGACAACAATCAAACCTTTTCCTTCCTTCCTTCCTTCCTTCCTTCCTTCCTTCCTTCCTTCCTTCCTTCCTCCCTCCCTCCCTCCCTCCCTCCTTCCCTACCTCCCTCCTTTCTTTTTTCCTTCTGTTGGTTTGTCTGTCTTCCTTCATTTCTTCAGCTCTACCTGCCTGAAAAGAACAAGTGGGTCAGCCACATGTAATGGCTTTTATTATTCAGAGATATTCCTGACTCTGACATTTCACTTATTGTGCTAGTTAGTTCTTAGGTTTTTGTTTGCTTCTTCTTGCTATAAGATTTCCCTATGTAGCCTTGGCTGTCCTGGAACTCACTCTGTAGATGGCTAGTTAGTTTTAATTGTCGATTGCATATCACCTAGACTCATCTGAGAAAAGAGTATCAGTGAGGGATTATACAGATTAGGCTGGCCTATCTACAAGCCTGGTACTCATTTTTTTTGTTAATTCACTACCTTTTTTTGGCCTGTGTTTATTAAGGCATTTAAATTTTTTTATTATTACAATTTATTCACTTTGTATCCCGGCTGTATCCCCCTCTCTCCTCCCCTCCCAATCCCACTCTTCTCTTCCTCCCTCTTCTCCTCATATGCCGCACCCCCAGTCCACTGATAGGGGAGATCCTTCTCCCCTTCCATCTGACCCTAGCCTATTATGTTTCATCAGGACTGGCTGCATTGTCTTCCTCTGTGGCCTGGTAAAGCTGCACTCCTCCCAGGGGGAAGTGATCAAAGAGCCAGCCACCGAGTTCATGTCAGAGAAAGTCCCTGCTACCCTTACTAGGGAACCCACTTGGAGGCTGAGCTGCCATGGGCTACATATGAGCAAGGGGTCTAGCTTATCTCTAGGCATGGTCCTTGGTTGTAGTATCAGTCTCAGAAAAGACCCCTGTGCCCAGATTTTTTTGGTTTTGTTGCTCTCCTTGTGGAGCACCTGCCTCTCCAGGTCTTTCTATCTCTCTCTTCTTTCATAAGTTTCCCTACACTCTGCCCAAAGTTTGTCTATGAGTCTCAGCATCTGCTTTGATACACTGCTGAGTAGAGTCTTTCAGAGGCCCTCTGTGGTGGGCTCCTGTCCTGTTGCCTGTTTTCTCTCTCTTCCGAGGTCCATCCTGTTTGCCTTTCTGAATGAGGATTGATCATCTTACCCAGGGTCCTCCTTGCTTAGCTTCTTTAGGTGTATAGATTTTAGTATGTTTATCCTATATTATATGACTAATATCCACTTATAAGTGAGTATATACTGTGTGTGTCTGTCTGCTTCTGGGTCACCTCACTCAGGATGACCTTTTCTAGTTCCCACCAAATTTCAAAAGTGGGGAAGAGCCTTGAACTCACTGGCAAAGAAGACAACTTTCTGAACAGAACACCAACAGCACAGGCTCTAAGAGCAACAATCAATAAATGGGACCTCATGAAACTGAAAAGCTTCTGTAAAGCAAAGGACACTATCATCAGAACAAAATGATAGCCTACAGACTGGGAAAAGATCTATACCAACTCTGTATCTGACAGAGGGCTAATATCCGGAATATATAAAGAACTCAAAGAGTTAAACACCAACAAATCAAGTAATCTAATTAAAAAATGGGGTACAGAGCTAAATAGAGAATTTTCAATAGAGGAGTACCAAATGGCAGAGAAACACTTAAAGAAATGCTCGACATTCTTAGTCATCAGGGAAATGCAAATCAAAATGACCCTGAGAGTTCACCTTACACCCATCAGAATGTCTAAGATAAAAAACTCAAGTGACAACACATGCTGGAGAGGATGTGGAAAAAGGGGAACCCTCTTCCACTGCTGGTGGGAATGTAAACTTGTATAACCACTTTGGAAATCAATCTGGCGCTTCCTCAGAAAATTAGGAATAGTGCTACCTCAAGATCCAGCAATAGCACTCCTAGGCATATGTCTAAAATACGCTCAAGTATACAAACAAGGGCATTTGCTTATCTGTGTTCATAGAAGCTTTATTCCTAATAGCCAGAATCTGGAAACAAAACAACCCAGATGTTCGTCAATGGAAGAATGGATACAGAAATTGTAGTACATTTACACGAAGGAATACTACTCAGCAATTAAAAACAGGGAGCCATTTTCTTAACTGGGTTAACTGAAGTGGGAAGGTCTACCCTGGATGTGGTGGCATAGGGTCCTGGACTGTGTAAATGGAGAAAGGTAGCCTGTTGACCTGACTGACTAGGACAGAGGACCTTCACCAGCTGCTTTGTGAGACCACTCTCAGTGGGCTTAGCATCAATGAGAATGGTTGTAAAGGCCAGGGGGCACTTCAGGGAGGTCACTGTGTTTTGGTGAATCCATTCTGTTAGCAGCATACAGGTGTTTCTACCAGCCTGCTTCTAGGGGGCCTAGCCACCTCTGATGTCATCATCTGCCGCCCTGTTTGCGCACTCTCTTACTCCCCACTGCCTCGGTTTCTTTCCTTCTCTCTGGGGTGGCCCCTTCTCTCTCCCACTGTCTCCCTGTCTCTCCCCATCTCTCTCTCTTTCTGCCCTCATGCTCTCTCAGGCTGTGGCTCTCTCCTCTTCCCCCTCATGTAGCCTCTCTGTATCAGACCAGTTGCATGGCATGCAGCTCCTGCAATTCCTTCTCCATTATAACACATTCCCCTGACACTGACTGGCACAAAGTAACGCCAGCCATCACAGAAACAAGAGCAACTCACTGAGCCAAGCCGTCGACGCACTGACCTTAGAAGGTACACGCATCCATGCACACTCTCACAGATTCACACACGTACGCACACATGTATGCACACAAATAAATATTCTTACATGTTCACATGCTATGTGTGTGTGCGCGGGGGAGGGGGGGTGTTCTCCTCAGCCTGGACAAGCTTTGAAAACATGCAGAGCTTAATCACCAGGTACAGGAGGACATGGCACAGGGTTGCTGGGAAATGTTCCACGGGAATGTTCTGTGCACAAGAACTTTCCACATTCTCACTCTGCAACCTTTTCCATCAGTTCAGACAAATATTGTTCAAAGAAGTATAGGCGAGGGAGAAGCAAACCAAAGTCTCCAGGGAGGTTCTGATGAATTTGGAAGAGGAGGGAATGTTTATGTATGCAGAAGTGGACAAGTCACAGTACGCAACATCTAGCCATGCGTAAGGTGCCAACTTTGACCCCACTGCAATCTCCCCAATTAATCACTTACAAATGTCCTTCCTTTTTGGTCCACAAAGTTCCAATTAAAGATTGCCTAAGAATCACTTCAAATTAAAGAAAGGAACAGGCTGGAATTCAAATTCCACATAACTATAGAGTATATGAAACCAACCATTTCTGAAGCTGTATCATATTTGCTGGATACATCCACACAGAGTACAAACACCTAGGACCAGGCTCTGTCGTTCTTTCTTCTGAGAGGTAGGGTCTATGCTGGGAAGGAGACCCCACAAGTCAGCTCAGCTCAGCTCCTGAATCTAGGGCTTTAGTAGGAAGGAGCACCATTGCTTGAAGAGAATGGTGATGGTGCAGCCATGTCAGTAACAGCTTCCAGTATGGTGCTGCATGGCAAGCACCCTTCAAATACTGGATGTAATAATTCCTCACTCTCCACAGCAGCCCACATAACTCAACTATGAGTATCCTCGTAGGACAGATGAGGAAACAGGGGCACAGGGCGGTGAAGTAACTCAGTTAAGCTAGTAAGTGACTGACTGAGCGTCTGACTTGAGCTGTTTCACAGTCGTGCCCTTTGATGCCAAGCTACATGGCTTGTTAAACTGCAAGCTTTGGGCTTTGTGGGACTAGACTGACCCCCTGCCAAAGCATGCATTCCTTCAACAGAGTGTAACGTGTTCATGACTCATTTTCTTACAAACAATCAAAACTTTTCTAAATCTAACAAACAAAAGATGGCGCAGCACTGAGAGGTACTAGAACTTCCCATAAAAGGTAAAAAGGATGCAAGACACCACCAACAAATCGAAACTGTCTTCGTGCTAGAAATCTCAGAGTGAAATCAGGGTCAGTTCTTTCTGATGATTATCAAGCACTCCCCTGGTGCTCAGATAATGAGCTACACTTTCCTGAGACAGCATGACACGCCATTCTAGAGACAGAAAACTGGGTTTTACAATGATCGTCAGCTTACAAATTCCCAATTCTCTTCTCTCCTTTTCTCAGAATTGTTTTCATAGAATTTTGGGTTTGCACACTTATTTTCCCATATGCATAACAGATATCCTAATCAGATTTTAATGTTCTCAGGTGGTAACCTCCTCCGCTAGCAGGGCAGTTTAGCATAATTCAGTAACACAGGCTAAAAGGACACAGGACCTTCTCGGGGGTGATTCAACAGCCTTTGCAAAGCAGATCCAGAAACTTACCTTGGGCTTAAAAGCGATGACTTTCAAAACCATCTCAACAGTGAACACCCCCGTGAAGACCATGTTTAGAATGTCCATAGCATCATTGAACATCTTCGACTGCTCATAGTGCTGTGGATGAAGACAGAAGTACCGCTGTCAAAATATCGTCATCTCACATCTCTGAATCGGGAGGTCCCCTGACACCTTCACCCTGGGGCCATTTCCCACCGTCCAGTACCGCATCTCCTCCTAACATTTCAACCCAGCGCTGCAAGGTCCTGTGGTGAACTTCCACAGAACACGAGGGAGGGGGGCGCCCGTGGCACAGTGAGGATGATGGGATGATGGAGGAAATAATGCGCCCGTTCTCGCAGTTCTGAGTAAGGGGAAGTCACTCTTTCTCTGTGGGGAATGATGCTCAGACCCTTGACTAACACATTGCAGATACCACCTAACTGTCTACGGATAAAGGTAGAATTTTATGAGTGATGAATCTTAGACTACTTAGGTCTATGTCTCATTAAAGGTGGTATTACCTAGGCTTTACACTTTCCCCTAGATCAACATACAGACATTTTCATTTCTTAAGTTTAAAATGTGTCTGAAACTATGTGCCTGACTATAGACCTGTCTTCTACATATAAATGAAGACGTGTGATTTAAGTTTCAAGCCTGGGCAGAACCTGGTTGTAGACCTGGGTCCTGGCTTCCTGACCTAGAGCCATGTCTATCAGTCAGCAACTTCTGTCAACACTGCTCAGCAGTATGACTTGGTCAAGGTCATCAAGAAATTACTGAAATTCAGATCAATATTTCAAAAACTAGAAAACCTTGCACTACCACGCCAGGAGCCCCTTAAAGACAGAAATGTAACTTGGGTTTTCCTTTTCAGCAGTGAGTGACACTGCAGCAGGTCCAGACCAAAGTTTCAGACACGGGTGCTAGAGAGACAGACGGTTGAAAGGTCAAGGGCACTTGTTCTTACAGAGACCTGGGTTCAGTTCCCAGGACCCACATTATGGCCCACAGTCCTCTGTAACTCCAGCTCCAGGGGATACAAACCCCTCTTCTGACTTCTGTGGGCACCAGGCACATACATGGTGTACATACATACAAGGCAGCAAAACACTCATTCAAGTAAAATTAAATAAAATATCTAAAAATAATTTCAAAGTGCCAGGCTCATAATTCAGCCGAATATCATTTGCCCCGCGGTAGGCAGGGAAGACTTCCCACATCACTCATAAAGAAAGTGTTGCGTGGGCCGAGGTTCTCAAGGCCACCAGCTGGTAAGGGCAGAAGCCAGGGCAGAAGCTGAGGGCTGTGTGGCACCGGAGCTTTGGTACTCAGCCACTCTTGGGTCCCACGACCCATGCTGAACACCACACACAGGCTCCGTGGAAGCACAACCCACAGCCCTATCACCCAGGCAGATCCAAACATAAAAGTGACCTTACAACATTTGGGTAGAACAGATCTCTGACCACATTCTAGCCCCGGCTTATCAGAAAGCCAGACTTCTCCTCTTGGGAGACAGGGCATGCTGCCATCAGGATCTGGGGCACAAGGCTATGTGGCACACCTAGACTTGGTCCCCACAGTGATCTCCATTTTTTACCTGCATGGCCAAGCAGAGCGTGTTGAGCATGATGAGGACGAACATCATGTATTCGAAAGGTGAGGAGTTCACCACGTACCAGAACTTGTACTGATATGGGTTTTTGGGGATGTATCTCCGTAAGGGGCGTGCTTTCAAGGCATATTCAACACACTGACGCTGCAATGGTAGAAAAAGGCAAACACAGGGGTTTTGAGAGCTTCCAGGGAAGGAGCACATAGTGGTCGTCTGCTTAGAAGAGCTTACTCTGGACCTCCAGAAGAGACCATGAATGACAATGATGAAGCCTCATGGAGTCTCTGATGGGATCTAGCATTTGCCTCATGGTAACTTCAGAAGTGAGCAGTGCAGCCTGTGTGCTAGCTGGGACTTATAGACAGAACTCATGCATACTTGGGTAAGGCTCTGCAGTATCCCTTAGGCGGGTGTGAGGGTTGGGAGACTTGGACCAAACCTAGTCTGGACCGTTCCTCTTCGCCAGAAGGTGTTCGCCAGCTCTGCCTGTGTTGTCCTCAAGGGGAAGCTAGCTAAGGACAGGCACAAAATCTTTAAGGGCCATAGAGATGGAGTTTACTTCCTTAGGCTGGAAGCTCTCCGGACACTCTAGCAGACCCACAGAAGATGCGTGTTCAGTCTTCTGGGGATGGGAGCTCACCATTCTCATGTAAGCATCTCCCAAGAATGATCAGTGATGATGGTTAGATTAAACTAAAGTTAGTTCTAAACAGACCACTGTCCTCCTACCCACTCGGGGACAGAGACTAGTCCTTATTTGGAGCCAGCCCAGAGGGAGCCTCCATTTGTCTGCAAGGCTTATTCCTGCCCCTCCCCCACCTCTTGCCTCTACTCTGGACACAGCAGACTGCAGACCAGTTCTCTAGCCTAGTTTGGGACTTTGGGTTCTCACACATATGTAGCACCGGCCTTGCAGGTTCACCTCGCCTAGCCCTCACTTGCCTGCCCCCCTTGGGTAGGCAAGGACATGCTGACATACAGTTCTTCCGCAAACCAAGTCAGCACCATTCTCACATTTCCAGAGCGGTCAGTTGCCACTTGGGCAGGGCTACCTCGTAATGCCATGGCCACTACTGCAGGAAGCCCACACTGCCATATCATTCTTGCTCACCAAGTCACCATAAAAGCAGAGATGCCCTTTGTAGAAAACAGGGGAAAACTCTCAGAACAGACTTTCAATCTCATAAGCTAAAGGTTCAAAAGAATGTCTAAGGGGCAACTCCTTCATGCCGACATAAACTGTGTCTAAATGAGTTAAGGAACCAAGACCCAGGGGCAGAGATGCACCTAATGTTACAGAAAAGGTACAGGCAGAGCAGGGCTAGAGCACAGGTTCCTGGTTTCCTTGCTTTATCATATAATCAGAGCCAAGCCCCACTTCTAGGTCAGCTAAAACAAAGAAGGAGATGAATGACGCCAGTAACTTTAGTTCCAACATCAAAGTTTCTGGCTCTTCCTAATAAATGACAGCGTATTTCAATTGAAGGCAACTGTAGTCCCCAGAAGACACCTAGAAATCTCTGGGAATATTTTGGTTCCCCACTGCAGGAAGGGGGTGCCAGTGCATTGAGTAGGTAGGGACCAGGGACTCTACTTCTTGCCCAACAGTTGTGCCCAGGAAGCAAAAACAAGAAGGACCAGCCTATAAGGTGAAGAAAGTTTGCAACAAGGAGATATCAAATTGCTTCTGCCCATGGGATGGTGCAAGCTTGAATGAGTAATTTCTGGCTCTGGGTCACAGTACCATGCAAGAGTCTAAACATCACTGCTCAGTCATGGCCATGGGTAATGGCCTCAGTGTTCTCCGATTCCTCCTCACAAGCTTGGGGATTAATTTCCCCAGTCATAGTCTATTGTGTGTCGGATGACTAACTCTACAGATACTCAACATGGTTGATAGTGTGCTCTGAACAGGGGCCTGAGCCCCTCCACTGGAAGAGGAGGTGCGCTGCTCTGGCCTGAGGGACAGAAGCACAAACAGTGTGTGACTTTAACCTGGTTTTTGTCCAGCTCACAGTTCTTATACTCTTTTTCTCCCTGTTCCTGAAAGGTGACAATGACGAAGCCCACAAAGATATTCATCATGAAGAAGGCAACAATGATGATGTAAATGATGAAGAAGATGGAGATCTCCACACGGTAGTTGTAGACGGGACCAACATTCTCTCCGTTTGAGTCAATAGCTTTATACAGCAACCTGGAGAACAGGAAAACTGAGTGAGGACTTGACAACACCATAGTCCAAGCAGCCTGTCCCACTGCCCCATTAGATGCTCCCAAAATTCCTCTGTACAGTTACAGTCTATGTTTTGGGGACCTGAACACAGCCAGGTCATTGAGGCGACTTCAGCTGTAGGCCCAGACAGCTAGTATGTAGATGAGGGGTTGCCCAGACATAATCATTCAAAGAATATCTAGGTAACTGAAAAATCAAAAGGATTTCACCAACAGTCAACAATTCAACCTTCTACTAACAGATAAGAGATAAAGAACATCACATTTGACATATTGAAGGAACCAAAAATTGTGTGTGCACTGTACCCAAACAGGAAGTTCCAGCATCAGACAGAACTCTTGAAAAGGATGTTACCATAACACACACCAATTCAACTAGTCCACTCTAATGCCGTCAGTCCTTCAGGACGCCAGGCCATGGTGTAAAAGCTTTCACATCCTCTCCTTTGATCTGTACTAGAAGGGGAGATGTTACCACCACCCCTTTTTATCAATGGTCAGAGGGGCATCCAAGTACCAAGATCACAAGGTCAGCAATCGTCAGGGGCAGAGCTCGAAGCTGGGCTCAGGTCCTGTAACCCCAAGATCCAGGCTGGTTCACATGCCGTCAGCTGCCCCCATGGCTAACTGAGGCTCAGCGTCCCAAACCTGACATTACCACAGTGTCTCCTCAGATTGAAGCTCTTAGGCCACACCTCACTTCTCCTAGATTAGTTTCCTAGTGAGTGAGTACTTCTCAATTGCCTGTGGAACTTCTGAGAATCTCTGTCACAGCCCCTCCTCAAGCCCTGGCAGCTGGCAAGAACCAGCCTGAGCACTCACCCCCTGAAGCCCCTCTGGCATGTGACATCTGAAGGAAGGAAAGAGTGCTCAAGGCTCCCCCTTTGCCTTTTGTTTTCTTCCTTCTTTATGTCCTGATATCCTTACTCACCCAGATGCCGGCCATACACCCAGAGTCTATTCTGTACTAGGTATGATGATGACACATTTCTACTAGCTCTGGGGCTCTGGGTTCTGAGGGTAGGAACAATGCCTCAATCATGCTGTTTCTTCCACATTGTCTAACACAGCATGCTGCATGGAGTTGATAGCAAAGGCATCAATTGTGAATGAGTGTATAAGCATCTTCATGAAAGAAACAGCATGGCGGCAACTGCCCATGCCTGGCACACATCAGTGCTCATTCTGTATCATAATGAGTGAGCGAATGACAGTCTGAACACTGTCAAGTCCTCTTTGAGAACATCAGAAGGGCAGCTACCAACAGAAGTCCCTCTAGCAAATGCCTCTTAAGACCTCCTTAACCACACCCAGAGATGCTGCTCAGATCCTTCACATCTGAGAGCCAGAAGCAATGCAGACATTTAACACCTTCCTGTTCAGATGGAGAAACCATGATGGGCAGAAATTGATGACAAGCTGCCCAAAGTTAGTTACAGACAAGCTTGCTAGCTTTGAGGAACAAAAGCGGAACCCATTCCTGGAAGGATGACAGCACAGAGTCCCCAAGGAGCAAATAGGGACCTCTCAGGAAACTGGATATTTCTCATACTCACGCGGGCCAGCCTTCAAAAGTTGAGACCGTGAAGAGTGCCATCATAGCCGAAAGGACGTTGTCAAAATTGAAATCACTGTTTTGCCAGATCCTCTCACGGACCACGGGACTGTCGACATCGCCATCCTTATAAAGAATGAAAAGCCCCCTGTAGAGGAAAGGCTTTAGAGTCATCTTGGCTTCACACATGATATTACTAGTTTGGTCCAGCACCCAGAACACCATCTGTAGCCTCAGCCAGGCCACACACCGGTGCACAGCCCAAGTGGGGCTTCTCCGTTGCCACACCCACATGTGCTCTGCTCTATTGTTCAAGTAACCTAGGAACAACTAGTGTAAAGTGCACTTTCTGGGGCAGGAGCGAGAGACCCAGTGTACATGTGTTGGCTATTAGCTATGACCAAGTGGTAAGTGTTTCTCACACTAGAGAGGCTGGAAATACAAGTGGAAATCAACACCTCGTCCGCAGAGAATTCCCTAAGCTCCAAGAAGCAAGCCGAGGTATCCGCTTGCCTCCATTCTAGTTTCAACAAGCTCTTCTTTCATATGTCATCAGTGGCCCTAGTTTTCTCTCCAAAGAGCCCTGTGACTGCTGTCACACAGCATTTCTTACGGAACTGTACTTGCAGAAGGAGCCCATGAGATAAAGCCCATTACGGCAACGGGCAGCTAGAGGGAAGGGCCACGCAGCCACACGATGGCGGCACTAGCCAGCCTCTGGGGTGCCCTGCATCCCTCAGCCTGAGCCAATGGCATTTTTTGGAGCTATATGTAGCCATAGGCAAACTCTACCTGATGCCCTGTGGCCATATCATCTGTGCAAGGAAACTCAAATCAATGCATATGGGGCAGGCAGCTAGACCCTGGCCTGCTTAACTCTAAAGGTCAGGGACATAGATTTTCTGTAGCCTTAAGCTCTGGGCAATGTATGCATGGACTATGAACTATCCACATTGGCTGAACATCTTGAATTATGAGGTGTGAATGTTTCTCCTCTACTGGATGTTCTGAACAGAGATGTGCCAAAGTGTGGGCAATAGAAACAAGGAGCAAAGACATGTCAAGTCTTCTAGAAGAGGGTAGCCCACCCCAGACCACCGGGAACTGAGCTGCACGTCTGACTTGGGAGAATAACACTCACACTCCTCGTGGACAGGAGGGGAGATATCGGTGGCCACTGGTCAGTTACTTGAGGGTTGCTTCCCCCAGCTTGTAAGTTCCATGCTAAGTAGCTAGAGACATCTACTCGCTCTTTTGGGATGATCAAGATGGTTCAAACCTCGAGAGAGGCGCTGACTAAACAGTAGTGTGACTGCACTGATATGTGCCCTGGATATAGGTGATTTCACTTTATTTGACTTTCACCTGGACTTGAACATATAAACAAACAACAACAAGATGCCAACACTATCCTTCCTGGCATGAGCGGAGTGGAAAGGCCTCTTATTGCTTGACAAAAACTTCTGAAATGCTAACGTGAGCGAATCCTTGAGGACTGCCATTTCTTCTCCCAAATCCCCCAGCCTGCCCTCGAGGTACCCACCTGCATTCCTCGGGGTTACTTTTGGCTTCATCTGTGCAGCGATAGAACTTCCCCTAGATACAAAGCAGATGGAGAGTCAACACAGGCTCTCCTTGTGAAGGCCAACTCCAGCCCGGGGAAGGCAAGAGGGCGCCCCACCTTGAACAGCTGCACCCCAATGCAGGCAAACATGAACTGCAGCAGGGTGGTGACGACCATGATGTTGCCGATGGTCCGGATCGCCACGAAGACACACTGGACCACGTGCTGGGGAGAGAGCAGAGCGAGGATGGAAGGCCGCCACTCTCCTCCCTTGACCCCGGGGCCAGGGCTGTGTTTGGGTACACTGTGATGTGAATTTTTAACTGTTCTAACTGCAGGCTTTGTTTTTCAGTTACCTACTGCGTGAGTACAGCGCCCCATACGGTGTTCACTTTCACATTCACTAAGTTCCTATTACATCTATTTATTGTGTGTGTGCACACGCACATGTGAACTTGGGGGCGAGGACACCATGTAAGAAGGGTTCTCTCCTTCGACGTGGACCCCGGGGATTGCACTCAGGTTAGTAGAGTTGGTGGCAAGTGCCTTGACCCACTGAGGCATTCCACTGGCCCACGGAACACCCTTCAAGTGTCCTTTCTTGGGATTCCTCAAAAGACAATGGTTTAATTGAAAAGAAACACCGCCGGCACATGGGATCACAAGATTCTCATGCCAGAAAGACCTTACAGACATGTAAACCCTCTGGCCAGCTGCATAATCCATATGGGAAAAGATTATAACTTAAAATAAACACAAAAAAGATATTAATAAAGAAGTAACAAATGGTCGCTGTAATAACAACCACACATCTCCAACTCACAAAACCGAAAGTAACTTTCGCTGCGTACGTGTGTATCGACACATGCCAGGTGGGTATATGTCCACATGCCTGTTCATGTGAGGACACTGTGTGGCCTGCCATACCAGGCTCTACTTCATACTCTGAATGCAGAGCTGAGATAGACCAGGAGGGCCCTGCTATCTCAGCCACCTCTGGCACTGGGGTTACAGGAGTGGGAGAGCAGACATGGCTTTCTACACAAGGTCCTACTGTGTGTGTGCAGCCAGTCTCTTACTGCTGCGCCATCTTTCATTTTTTGAATGACAGTAGTTGGCAGAGGTAGCTTTTTTGGTGGAAAGGTCCCACTCTGAAACCCATCATGCCTCAGCTCATCTCCAGACTAGAACAGTTAATAACTGCAGCCATCCCCAACCCAAGCCAGCCCCACTCACAAGAGAGGGCCAATACCTTAAGTCCTTTTGCTCTGTTGATTGCTCTGAGAGGCCTCAAGACCCTTAGAACCCTGAGAATCTTCACAACGGAGATGGCGCTGGATCTAAGGCGGAACAAAGGTAAGAGAACAAGCAGTGTGTGCTGTGGAGGAGATCAGTTACTTCATGTGACCATGTGGAGTTGAGCTGATCTCTCTGTTCCTTTCTGCTACAAAACAGGCCTCCTGCCTCCCGAGGGAGCTGACAGAGGCCCTGCTTCAAGCACACAACTGGATTTTATAGAGACATTTTCAAACTTTGATACGTTAATGTAAACACTAGATCCCTGACATTTAGATTTCAGTGTTTAAACCCGGGAACCTGTCTGTGCTTTGGTGCTAGGGCTTTTCTGACCACCAAGGAGTTAAATCTGGTAGGAGAGATGAGCCGCACATACCTGGCTGGGAGTGTGGGGTGGCATTAAATGCAGTGTGCCCCTTTGAGGAAGGGAAGGTGGCACAAGGTCTCAGGCAGCTGGGAAGGCCTCTCAGGGAGGGGCCAACAGGTGAGCCCCAAGGGAGTAAAGAGTTAGCTGACAGAGGGAAGTGGGGCGTGGGAGGCAGCAGCAGTGCCTACACAGGCAGCTGAGTCATGGCAGCCCAGGTGGTTGGGTGTGGCTGGGACACAGGCCCAGGAGGAAGTGTGCAAGAAGAAAAGCTGGAAAGAACGTGGACATCTCAGAGGCTGATGAGAGTGTGAAGAGACTGAAGGTTCTACTGGGAAGTGAATTCAGAACTTCCTTCTCCAGGCAGCAGCCAGAAGTAACAACAAGGAAGGCAATTCTGGGCAGGAATGCTCGGCTCTTGTTTGGTCCAAAGCAGGCCCCCAGAATGGGAGTGCTGCTGACACTGCCTTAAATGACAGGCTGGGATCTGACCAGGTAAGCAGGGGGACTCTATCCGATACAGAAACTTAAACCTAGCATTCCTCAGAAGCAAGTTTCTGTCAGGAAAAGCCAATGCTCCCTTATCTGCCCCCACTGTCAATTCCCTCAGGCAGAGGGCATCTAGTCCCTAATTAACACAAACAGCCTGCAACATATCAAAGCCTCCATGCTAACTCTCAGGCTGTTCTGGCCCACACCCCTCCTGTGCCACTTCCTGACCCCATAAAGCTGACAGGGCTTTTCCTGCTATCCACTGTTCTCTGCCCGATGCAGAAGTTTGACTCCCAAATAAACTGTCCTTTTTTCTTCCCATAGAGTAGTCTAGCTCAGTGATTTCACTATGCCTCACTTACAGTCCTCTCCAGGTCCCTTTAGCTAAGGGGCTTATGTACATGTGTGCTCACATGGGGTGCCATTGGCTGGCTCCAGAGGCCAGCAGGAGAGTGAGGTGAGGTCACAGAAGATGCAACCACAGGTGACTGCCCCAGGACTGCACGGGGTGGAAAGGCAGTGTTCAGCCTCGAAGAAACCCTAAACGACCCCAAAGGTCACTACAACTCTGCATCCTGCAAGCACAGGAAGTGGAACGAGTCCCAAAGGACCACCAAGGCCAACCTCCTCCTGAAGTGAAGGAAAAGTGCCACCCTGAGAGAGGATACTCCAGAATCAGGCCTGAGAGGAACTTGATTTGTTTTCTTCCAGTCAAGCTGTCATTCGTCTGCTGCCGAAAGCCAGTTTCAAAAAGAATAATAAACTCAACCTAGCAGTAGGCACAAGGAATAAAGAAAAAAAACAAAACAAAACAAAAAACACAACAACAGAAAAAGGAAAGCGTGAACGGAACGGGGCAAGCTAAACTCTCCTGGCTGTAACCATCAGACGGTGCCCAGCTTGAATGAATTAGGTTCAAGTTCCCCAGGTAAATGCATTCTGCTGACACATGAATACTTACTGAATCCCAAATGACACCAGAGACACCCCAACAACCAGCATGTCCAGCAAATTGAAGTAGTTCCTGCAGAAAGCTCCTTTGTGCAAGAAAGCTCCAAAAGTTGTCATCTGAAAACAGAATCATGTGCCATTTACTTCTTCCTCCTTCCCTCCAGGGTCCAAAACCAAACAAACCAGAGCCTGCGCTCTTCACAAACTCTTGACAGAAGCGTGACTTCATCAATGACTGCACGCAGAAGACAAATGCAAAGCAACGGGGCTGAGTGACTACGCAATTTACTTCAGCAAAAGTAGAGAGGAGCACACATGTAAAGAGACCAATTTAGAGTCTATTCAGGTAAGAACAGCTCTCTGCCATGTCCAAAGAGCCCGCCTCAGGCTTGTGAGAACGCCATCACTGCCTCACACCCGAGCTTACCTACACAGTGATGGCCTGGCCTCTCTAAGGTCACAGAGGACATATTCATTAAACTTCTCAGTGGGAGCTAGCAGTGTCGGCTCCAACATCCCTAGTGTGCTTTTGCCCTGAACTTTGCTGCTCCAGCTTTAATGGTTTTCCCATTCCCAGCTCTCCCAAGTCTAGGTACTCTACAAATATCAGGCATAGCAAGGAGGCTGTTGGGTATTGTTACAGCTAAGCCAGTCTTGCTCTCACATTAAACACCCTGTATAGCAGGAGCACATATAGTGGGATTTCTGCTGATCTGATCTGAAGAGTTCAACAAAGAAGTTCTCCAGATGGGAAAAATACAGTGTTCAATAACCCAGGATTTCATGGGCCTCAAAGCTTATGAGTAAGTACACTCATTTAACAATTCAAAAAGGCAGACAGGAGAGCAGAATTTCAATTAACCAGGACAATGGATCTATGAAACAATGCTCCTTAATTCAGCTGGAGGGAGAGGCAGCAAATGGCAAAAACCAGAACCTGGGGTAGGAACCCCACGTGTGTTGTGCAGTTTTTACTACAGGGCCATAAACCTCAGCACTGCTCTGCTCAGCCCAGATGCAGAGGGGACTAAAACTAAGCTTACATTTACACAAGAAAACTCAAAAGTTTTATAAGACTTCACATAGAGTTGAACATAGTTGGGTGGGTGGTTTTGAACTCATTATCATTATCAGTGACACAAAGGGGCCATTTCCTGACCACATTAATTGAGGTTTCATCAGCAGAAGATTTTGTGAAGAGCCCAAGTCCCTAGTTGCTCAACTTAAAGTACATTTTTATATGCATACACATAAACCTCAAAATACTTTAAGAACAACTGTAGCTAAAACTCTTCATTTCTTAGCTTTTTCCCACAAGGAGTTGGTTGTAACAGCAGGATCAGAAGGCCCAAATCACAGAGCTCTTGGCCCTCCACCGTGTCTGCAGAGCTCTGACATGGGGAAGGAACTTCCTCATGAGGTGCTCATAGTCAGGACACAGCACACACACTGATGCCACCTGTTAGGCCGTGCATGGGCAGTACATTGGCACCTTTAGTCTGTGCCAGTGTGAGCCCATCCCACTAAGACAGATACAGAGCATCTCCACGCAAGTAGACCCAACTCGCCTTGCAAGACCCATTGCAAGAAAATAGTAAGTTACTATTTGAGGACACAGAACCACAGGGTAGTCCAGGAGCATGGAAAGAGTGGCTCCTGTCACAGTATGAGTGCTTTTTGACTCTGATGTTGGAAAGAAGGAAGAGAGTTCACACAGAGTGCTAGATCCATTATTAATGAACAAAATTCTGAGGAGTTTTTAAAAAGCACAAAATATAATTCTAATTGGAATGTGCGGCCAATGCAGCTCCTCCAAGCACTCAAAGATTAAAAAAAGAAAAAAAAAAAAACTGCAAAAACACGTAAAAATGGTCACAGAAAAAAAAATCCTTTAGTTTTAAAAAGTTTAGCTTGATCAAGGAAGGAAAAAAAATAGTTCAAAGCACTTCACACATCTCTCCTGTGCCTTGTACACAGGAGGGGCCTCAGTCAGGGCTCAATGGCCCGTTACCTTCAAAATGATCTCAAATGCAAAAGTACCCGTGAAGACATAGTCCGCATAACCTAGCATCTGGAAGGAAGCAAAGGATGCAACCATTATTGCTGTGGCTGCATAGTGGAGGGGGTCAAGGAAAGATGTGTTACCTTTAACAGGATTTCAACCGTAAAGATGGCTGTGAAAGCATAGTCAAAGTAACCCAGTATCTGCAAGGCACAACACGCAGAAATCAGAACAAGGCACACAAACAAGTCGTGGCAGATCCCTGCCCGTGAGTAGAAACCCCAACTTGTGTCCAGAGGACCCCTCTAAGAGGGGCAGGGCTGCTGCTCCCGTGGGAGGGCTGAGCTGCTCAAAGGGCCTGTCTCTCCCGCTCACAGCTCCTCTTTGTGACGGCCAAGGAATGTTGTCGAACCTGGCTTCCTTGGCCGGCTTCCCAGGCTCCTATCCTGGCCCACAGGGGCTGGTTTCTGAGAAGCCTGTGCTAATAATCTTCCCTCTAAGTGAACAACCAGTGACTCGATAAATGAGATTCATACACATTTTGCAGTTTTGAATTTGGCTGAATGAAATGTGCTGCCATCTAGCTGTGCTTTGTGTCAGTGAAGGAATCTAAGTGGCAATGCTGCAGTGGAGCTGAGAGGGTAGCCTGGTGGTAGAGGCCATTGCTAACCGAGCATGAGGTCCTGGGATCTGTGCCCAGCACCATGAAGGTTAACATTTTCTTTAAACATAAATAAAAAGAAGCTAATGGCGTCAAATCGAGCTAGAAATGTTCATGTGTTCCTGTGGACCCAGGACAATTTAATCATGAAGTGATTTCCCTAGCCCACCCTCATATGCCAGGATGGTCCAGTTTATAAGGCATGGTTTGTACTTAGGGTCTTCCTCCTGAACCTAACTCTGCTTCATCTCAAGGCTGATCCTTGCCTTTTGGGGTCCATGCAAAGAACAGACTGACCCAGCATTCTGATTTTTAGTATACCTACTCTACTAGCATGCCTGAAAATGCCATGTAAAATCTGTAAAAGTCTCATGAGCTCCTGATGCAAGGTTCTCGATTTCTTTCATAGCCATGAAAATTCAGAGGCCAGTGGGTCAGAAGCAAGAAGTCTGAGCAGCACAGCAAGATACTCAGCGTGTGGACGACCCCATGACTCTCAACCAGAAAGATGGCAGCCAAGATGGCCAGTACACAAGCCTGTCCTGAGTGCTGATCTCATGGATGTGGTGAGCTAGGGCTTTATTGCATATCTATTGTCTATCTATCCCTGTCTGTCTGTCTGTCTGTCTTCTGTCTGTCTGTCTGTCTCTCTCTCTCTCTCTCTATCTATCTATCTATCTATCTCTCTATCACATAACCAGATGCCGCAGTATATGTATGGAGGTCAGAGGACAACTTTTATCTGACTTTTAGTTCTCTCTTCTACCGCATGAGTCCCAGGGATTGAATCCAGGTGGTCAGCCATGGTGGCGGGTGCCTTTTCATGCTGAGCCATCTTGCTAGCCCATCTATGGTTTTGAAAGAACTGAAGATGTTAATGTTGGGAGGGCTGTAGAAACCACTTAGGCTTATCCTTTCCATTGAAGACATGTGGATATTAGGGATGGGGCAGGGGTACCTGTCAGGCCACAAAGCCAGTCACAGGCAAAGAAGCTGGTGCAGGCTAGTCCAGAGCTTCAGGGCTGTGTCTTCTCTGCAGGAGCCACCACTGGGACATGCATTGCCTGCCCCCATGGAAGGGGAGCTGTGCTTCTCTTCCACAGAAGTGGCGGGGGGCTCTACTCCATGGCAGCTCAATTTGCAGGTAATCCTTTCCCAAACTTCCCATTTCTGGCCTCCTAGACATTGCTAGAACAGTTCGTGTAACTGTATTTTCTAGTCAACTATCAGCACCCCCTTTCCTTCATTCCTTCCTCGGGTGCTGAAAGGACGTTGCAGCCACACTTACTGGGCCCCATGGTGCCCAGGCGCCCTTCCAAGGTCTTAGACTTAAGTACTTTCTCCACACACCTTCTTCCCTTTTTACTAGAAACTCAGCTATTGTTAAAATGAAAAACTTCTGTGTTTTAACAGCAACACAGGTAACTAGGTGCATCTGTCTAAAACAACAAGGAAAAATGCATGGGAAAGAAATTATGACAAAAAGAAACATAAAAATAACCTGTGATTAATTAAAAAAAAAGAAAAAAAAACCTGTCTGATTTTGAAAAGAAGAAGAAGAAGAGGAGGAGGAGGAGGAGGAGGAGGAGGAG